TTTTTTTTTTGCGCAGGATATCTCTGGAAGCGTTCAAAAACGGTTTGGCACTACCTTCGAGACCATCGTTTCGCACGCGGACTTCACTTGGCGTACTCACTTTTATAGTACAAGCACTTGCAAGATTGACAGCGGAGGTTATCATGCTCTCACCTACGAGTCCAGCAAAGCTGTGAGACACTTGTTTTGAAGTTCCAATATCACTTCTGTATCATGTTTTCAGTCTCCACCAGAACTCTCACCTGCTCCAGTAAGTCTTCTTCCGTGTTCGTCTTCGCTATCAGTGAGCACAAAATTTCATTAAAGCTTTAGCCCATGCAGTCAGCGGAACCAGTGGGCGGTGGTGCATCGCCTCCGTTCTCTGGGGGTGAAGTTGCATCTCTCTCTCAAATTTCACCTCCAGCACCGTTTGCACTTCCTTCTCCACCTGTACCCGCAGCGGCTGTCCCTCCAGTAAATGTTCCCCCTGTGTTTGCTTCTCCTGCTGTATTCCAGTATGTGCCACCTGCAGTATATCCTGTAGGGGGTAGTGGACCAAGTAAGTGTTTTCGTATGCTCGATGTAAAAGTTATTTTTATAAAAAAGGTTATTGTTTTTCTACGGACACATGGGTAACGACACCCGTTGGAAAGAAACGCATGGACAGTTTGGAAGTTGGTGATTTTGTTCTGACGGCAGACTTGACCACCGTGAGTTTTGCATCTATTACCAACATGCTAGTACGCCTCTCTCTTGAAGGTTTATTACGCTCCTATCTCATTTTGGATACACCGCGCACCGAATGTCACGACGAAATTTGTCACGATAATGACTGAATACGGGAAAATGCTAGCATTAAGTAGTCGCCATTTCATTTTCAGAAACAAATGCGAAGGTGATTTAAGCAGATACTTGGGAAGCAAGCTCAGTAAGAGAACTTTAGAATTGTACAATGACCACGTCAATCTCCTTCCTTCAAACAGCGAGGCTGTTTATGCCGAGCAACTGGAAGTGGGCGACTGTGTGTACCTTCTTTACAAGGTGGGCAATTATCAGCGAGTTCAGTCGGGGCTGAAGTAACACTTCTTTTATAGGATAACTTCCGACTGCAGAAACTCCAGGATATCTCTATAACAGAAAGACAAGGCATTTACTCGCCTTTGACATCAAATGGAAGAATAATCGTCAATGATATGTTGGCGTCATGTTATAGTGATGTGAATGAAGCTACTTTACAAACTACTTACTTCTCAGTACGGACTGTTTCTGTTTGCGGACCAATTACGCAGAATAAGCGATCATTTTCATTATGGTCCACAATGTTTAGGTGCTCAACGCTCTCCGGAGAAGTGTCATAGCGTCGTTTGGCAACTGGATCGATCAAACGGTTAGTGCGGCCTTTATATGATAATGGTATTCACATTTTTTTTAGATCGATCTTCCTTTTGGGACCGAGTTGTTGAAGGAGTTGTTACGATTGATAGTGCCTTTGACTTGAATTGTCTGTCGCATTATATAAAAATATGTGAGATTAGCTAGCACATCCGGCTCCGCCCGGCCCTGTCAATACATTTTTGCTTCCCTCCAGTTCTCGCCAGATCCGTTTCCCCATTATATTAGGTTGACACAGTTACAAAGAGGAGACTTAAACCGAAGGTTGGGTACTGGGCCCGGCACCAGGTTGTCAAAAAGGGTTTTCGAAAACG